AAACAAAGTTTAACAAACAAACAAACAAAGAGCTATGGAGTAGTATGAACAGATCAGATCAGCTTCCTAGCGACATTTCCACATTCTAAATTAATAAATTCATAACTGAATATAATATATAATATTATATATCCATAATTCAATATCCTTGATTTTTTCTAGATCCTTTCTTCTTTTTTTATTTTATTTTAATTTGGACCATTTCTCGATTTATGCGTGTCATCCTTGCGCAGGGGCCATGCTAATCTTCCTTCTCTGTATCGTTCCAATTTTAACGGTTGTCCCGAAGGACTCATCGGAGGTCTTTCTTCTTCGTTGTTTTTCCAGGTTTTTTTTTTTTTTTTTTGGTCTCTTTGTATGCTTACAAGTTAATTAACTGTATTTAATATATCGAAAAATTACAATGATTTGGGGTGTCTAAGCAAAACAGGGCCTCGCTCCATCACACAACATTGTAAATGAATCTGGAGGAGGTAATGGCCGCAGTACATGGAGATGTTCAACCATTATTAGAGTGTACAGCTCAGATACATGTGGAGTAGTGGAGCGAGGTCAACAGTCATGGCTGAAAACGTTTTTTGGTGTTTCACAAGACAATCACACTGAAAATGAATTTGGCAGTCTCACACAGTCACCCCCTTGCGGGGGTGGTTGGGTAGGGAGGGGGAAGGGAAGGAGAGGGGGAGGGGAGCAGGGGGTACGATTCCATCTGCTGAGATTGCGCCATTCTGAGCATCTATCTGTGAAATCGACAGTCAGAGATCGATGATCAGAAATGCCTCCTCCCAACTAGTGGAATCAAGCTCCCAGTCGCATTTCTCTAAGTTGAAGAAAGAAGACTCAGGGGCTCGTTCGACACTCCTCGGGCGCGTAAAGTCCCCAAGGAATTGTTCGTTCCACCTATCCTCGGGGATGCAGTCGGCAAAAAAAAAGTGAAAACACTACAAAGGAAATTCCCTGGGCTCCGAGGATTCCCCAGCCATTTCTTCCTTTTGCCCAAGGGACCTCACGAGGTCCTTTGAGCAAAAGGAATCCGCGTTTCACGGAGAGGAGCGGGCACATGGGTAGAGAGACGTTACAACCGAGAATCTGGATCGTGGCGGCACCCTATTGGCTGAAGGCCTCAAACACATTTGATTTTTCTTTTCTTTTCTTTTTTCTTGTCTGACATCGTTCGAAGGAAATGTACTCGGGCGACATCCCCGAGGACAGGTGGAACGATGGCGGGAATTTCCTTGAAACCCCCCAAGGAAACTTCCTTCGGCCCCGAGGATGCCCCAAGGAGTGTCGAACGAGCCCCTCATACCACAAAGAAAACTGAGACCCCTAAATTGTGATTGAAGGAACCAGGGGGATTAAAAAAAAGAAAAAAGAGAATCACAGGGTGCAGAGGAGGCTATAACTTTTTTTTTTTTTTTTTTTAAATAGATTACTAGGCTACCAGAGTGGCCCGGGCCCACTTGCCCGGCCGGGCCAAAAAGAAATTAAAAAAATGAAAAAATGAAAAATAGTTTTTGAATATTTTTTATTTAAAATTTTATTGTAAATTTGGTAAGGAATTTCGATGTGACCCTGAGGCAAAAGTTGTTCAGTTTATTTTTCTGGATAACATAGTTGTTTTTCAGATTTTTTGGATTTTTTTTTTTTTTTTGGCTGGGACCTTCCCTGCTCCTTGCACGGCCGGGCCGCGCGGGAAAATAGGGTGACCCGGGCGGCCCGGCTGGTAGCCTATTATTAGAATATTATTATTATTATTATTATTATTATTATTATTTTAGGGGTAGCATATATACGGTGAGAGGCGGGCACTCATAGCATTGACCACCGCTTTAGCCTTTCTTAGATGCTTTGGCCATTGAGGAGGAGACAAGCGGCCTGAGCGACTGCTAGGTACGCCCCCTCCGCGCCCTGCCACCCCTGGCATCCTTCTGCTGCGTGATGGGGGTGCTGCTAGTAAGCTTCCCGGGGCCAAGTCCCACTGCCGCTGATTCTTCATTTCGGGCCGTTGATCTTCCGAATCTACGGTCAGAAGTTGAGATTTTGGGTCAGTGGGACTTGGCCCCCGGCCACCAGAATCACCCCCAGGGAGGCTATGGTTTGGGGGGGGTAGGATGGCCCGCAGCAGTGCCCCCCTTGATAGCTGGTTAGTACTGCAAGAGTCTGGCTGATTTCTGTCTTTACAACTCTATTGCTTGAACTCATGCTTGCCGGTGATAAGCAACCGGACTGACGCACCCCACAAGAGATGGGGCTTTGTGTGTGTGTTTTTGCAAAAAAAAAAAAAAAAAAAAGGGATGACAAGCAGGGAGGAGGGGAAAGCAAGCAAATCCTGACTTACCTACTGTCTTGGGAATGCCAGCAACTGCCACCTTGAGGCCGCGTCTCACACATTCCTTGCTCAGTCAAGGCCCATCATCATCACCAAAAAACAGAAATGAAGGATTGAAGTACACCTCAGAGAGAGAGAGAGAGATGTCTAGAAAATTTTAATTAAGTTAAATTAACGGATAAAACACTCCACAGGAAACAAGGAAAAGGGAAATAGAAAACCATCAAGCACAAATGGAATGGAGCAGTGGAGTACACCTCAGAGAGAGAGAGAGAGAGAGAGAGAGAGAGAGAGAGAGAGAGAGAGAGAGAGAGAGAGAGAGAGATGTCTATAAAATTTTAATTAGCGGTTGAAATACTCCACAATAAAAAACGAGAAAGGGGAAAAAAAACACCCATCAAGCAAAAACAGAAATGGAGCTGTGGAGTACACCTCAGAGGGAGAGAGAGAGAGAGAGAGAGAGAGAGAGAGAGAGAGAGAGAGAGAGAGAGAGAGAGAGAGAGAGAGAGAGAGAGAGAGAGAGAGAG